TGTATTCCCTGTGATCAAAGCTAAATACATACAAGATGTTAAAAGGCCGAAATCAAACTCCTGAGGATGAAACCTGTGATATCTGAGATGAAAAACACACTGGATGGGAGAGTAGCAGAGTAGATGTTCCAGAAGAAAATGTTAGTAAACTTAAAGATACAGCAGTGGGATTATCCACAATGAAAGGCAGATACAAAAAAAAAAAAAAAAAAAAAAAAGGACTCAAACACAATGAAAAGAGCATTAGTGACTTACAGGACAACTTCAGAGAGTCTAATCTGAGTGTGTTTGGAATCCCAAAGGAGGCAGGAGTGGAAAAATTGTTGAAGAAATCAGATGGCAGATGTTCTCCAGTTGATGAAACCTACAAACCCCCCAGTGCGGGAAGCTCCTCTGGTCCCTGTAGTGGTGTTACTGGCCAATGCAATAAAGAAGAAAAATACAAAAGAAATAGCATCTAGATTGTAAGACATAAAAATGTCTTTTATTGAAGGTCTTTTATTTCTACATCGTCTATGTAGAAAATGTGACATTATCTATAAACAAGCTGCTAAAACTAGTAAGTGGGCTTAGCAGTGTTCCAGGATGTAAGATCAGTGTTCAGAAATCTTCAGACCCTGAGACAAAGCAGCTAATTAGGCTTCATTACTACACCATGGGAAAGACTCCTCTACATGTTTTTTGTTTTGTTTTGCTTTTGATCTGCTGTGTCCCCCCGTCACCAAGAGGAAAGGTCTGTTTAACAGAACTCTTCCGTTAGGTCACATGTAATGACCCACTGGTTTCTCCATCATCTCACTGGACTGAGCGCGACACCCACCCGTGTCTTTGCGCAAGGGCATGGTGCCCCCAGCTGTCTGGTTTCAGTTTTCCCGACTTGGTTTATAGTCACTCTTTTCTGCTGCTTAATTCTCCACTGGTCTTGTCCTCTTTGAACTGCCCAGCTCACAATAATCACAGTTAAATTTTGGCTCAAATGAACTAGTCTTACACAGTTTGGCTCCGAGAAGTAGAATCCCTTATAGGCCCATGCTGTTTACAGCTCTGGGTCCTAAGATCTCCTTAATGTATTTCAGTCTGGGGTTTTCATTTCAGTATTTTGCTTGTGAAAGAAGCCAGCTATAGACTCATTCCACTTGTGATTATTATTTTTTAATGTCACATAGGAAATTTATAAAAAATAGAAGTGAAAGTCTAATTATTTATCATCTCCTCTCACAAAAGAAGAATGAAAGTAATCCCAAGAAAGGTATAAGTGGCTTACAGTTTTTTTTTTCATAACCTTTTTTTTCCCACTTTGAATAAGATTGGCCTTTGGGCCAAGATAGGAAAGTTTCTTATAGAACTTGGTTGTTTATTTTCATGCAAAATAGATATTTTTATAACAGCATAAAAAAATTAAATTGTGGGGGATAGTCTTATCTGAAGTGGCCTGAAATGAATGTAGACCCCCATTCAAAGAAAAGAGCCTCATATCTAGTTGTTTTTTTTTTTAACGTTTGTTTATTTTTGAGAGAGAGAAAGAGTGCAAGCAGGGGCGGGGCAGAGAGAGAGGGAGACACAGAATCTGAAGCAGGCTCCAGTCTCTGAGTTGACGGCACAGAGCCTGGTGTGGGGCTCGAACTCTCAAACTGTGAGATCATGACCTGAACCAAAGTCCGATGCTTAACTGACTGAGCTGTGCCAGCGCCCTGTGCCTTAGATCTGGTTTTAATGGGCATGAGAGTTCTGTTTTGTGAATTGAATTATGTCACCTGACTTCAGAGGGAGAAGTGCAGATGTGCCTTCGCTATTCTGAACCACGGTGGGACTGTGAGACCTGTGTCCTTAGAGTAGCTCGCTGTTGTTGGAAGAACCGCTCAACAGTAAGTAGCCAGTCTACAACCAGGCAGCATTTTGTCAGACACTTTCTAAGCTTTTAGCGCTGCACATTCAGGAAAACTCAGAACAGGTTTATTTGTCCCAGTTTTGGGGGGATTGTTTATCACCTAATGGTTCTTAGTGGTTTGCCAGGAAGCCATGAGTTCTAAAAGAGAGGATTCCGAGAGGCATTATTTAGGTTTTTCTGTTACCACGGTGAGTGCCTGGTAACGTGAAAAGATTTTCCAGCCGCGGTTATTTTGGCTGTGCTCTGGAGGGTAGGCCTTGGGGGGTTCTAGGACGAGCCACAGGGGCAAACTCTCTCTGATGGAAATGGAAAAGGAAGTTGTTGCCTGGGCGCCAGGTTGGTCCCCGAACCACCGGCAGACTGAAGGAGCCTTCAGATCCAAATCGGCCTGGGAGCCGTTCCCCCCAGGGCTCCTGCCGCTGCTCCCACTGGGCCCGGGATGCCGTTGTTTGAGCCTCTGCCCCGACTGGCACTGGACACCGCGCTGTGCCCCTGGTCCAGGGATCTGCTGAGCCCCGGCACCGATGCCGTCCGACCGCTTCTCCATTAGCCCCACTTCTCAGCCTCAGGTCTAAAGACCCAGAGTACGTGTGTCCAGGGGTCTGCCTCCACTGAGACCCACAGTGGAAAATTCTCCAAACACAGGACAGTGCTCTAGATCCTAGGCAGCCCAAACCAGGTCACACATTCACTCCAGGCAGGGCTAGTCAGGCCATTGTTTACGGGCCGAAATGGAGCTCAGGTTGCTTGTTAGAGAAACCCTGAGGTGGGTCATGTGGCCCATCCTGAGAGGCAGCTCAGAACTGAGGTATTCTCCTACTGGAGCAGAAATGGACGTTTAAACCCTTGGTTTTATTGTGATTTTGTGCTTGATTTTCTTTAATTTGCTCTTCCTGATAACGAACTGGCCCTGGAAAATGTTCTGTTAGTCTAGTAGAGACTCTGCCTTTATCCAGTGAATACAAACATTCCCTGCTGTGTTTATTTGAAATAGGAGCAGGCATTTTCTATATTTTGGTGGCATATGGTGCTAAGATTTTATCATACTTTCTTCTAAAGAGCCAGGAAACTTTCTCTGCTTAAAAATGTGTGTTTATAAACAATGGGCTTGCAGTGAATATTCCCATCTGTTAGGTGAACATAATTTGTGTAGGAATTCCTGTAATAGGTGGAGTACTTTGCAACTTTTTGTATATTTTTTCCCTGGCGAGACATGAGACTAAAGAGTTGGTACGGAACAGCATATGCCTAATACTCAATTTTGTATCTGCTCCTCCCTGTGGTTTGAAAACACTGCTATTTTCATGCATTAGTACATACGATTACTGTAGAAATTCATAAGAATTTAAAATCTATTTAGGACCCCGCAAGAGAGAGAAAATGGAATGGATAACAATTATATGATCGCAGACATGTTGCAGAGGTGACACTGTGCGTGTGGTTTTTTCAAACACGTGCTCCTGTGACTCGTGTTATTTCATTTCAAAACACCCATGTTGGCTTTGTGTCAACTTAATCTCAAAACCCCTCCTTATTATAATCACAGTTATGTAACCATCAAAGCTGCTCATCCTTCCAGTCTTGACTTGTCATTTAAATAAATGGCGTTGACTCTTTGTGTTCAGTTTGATCTTACTCTGATTATCCACACTAATTAATTTTGTGTTTGAGATGAGCCATTCCTCAGAATAGAATAAAATTTTGAAGATTAAAACTCAGCGATATTTTTTCATAAAAGATTTTATTAATCTTGTCATGGGACTGTCAAGATGGTTATCAGAGGGAAAACATACTTTGATTAATATTTGCTTAGTGCTGAATTACCTATATTGTCCAAGTGTTTTATTCACTTAAAAATTAGGCCTTTAAGTTCCTTTTTCAGGTTGACTAATTGGACATACTTGAATAAAAAGTTGAGCAATCAGTTGAATATAAGTGATTTCAAGCTATGCTTAGGAACTGAGCCAAGAAAGCCTACCATACGTGGTGCTTTTTATCTGAGTTTTAAAAGTTTCTGGTTATCCTTTGTTAGGAGAAGTAGTTTTAAATTGATGATAATTATGTACGGAACCTCTCTGTAATGAAGGATAGCATCACTCAGTTTTCTCTTTTTCGGAAGATAGGCTACCTTTAAGACTGGGTTTTAGCTCTCTGTGTTCTTTTTTGTAGTACACACCTTCCCATGTGTACGAAGTAGCCAGGACTCAGCCTCATTCTTGGTTTGTTTGTGAACATGGCCTAGAAACCAGTTAGTGTACTCTCTCAGGTATTGTGAAAGGTTGGGGCTCCAGAGCTGTAAAACTCACTTCAAGTGGTCCTTCGTTATAAATCTTACTTGCTTATGGATTTCAAACCATCCTAAGTTATAAAACTAACCATAAACCTAAAGCAGGGTTTTTATGGAAACTGTATCTTCTAAGTACATTTTTTTCTACTATGAAATGTTACTGAAGTTTTTAGAAAGTCTTTGATTTGAAGGATGACGATTGCTTACAGCCACGACAATGGAAAATACAAGTGAAACCACCTTTCAGTTATCCAAAATGTTTTTAAAGTTAATGTCAGACCGTGTGTGGGGAAGTGGGCAAGGGAAGTGTGTGAATTATGTTGGGGGGGTGGTCTCCAACACTGAGTGTCCCTGCTCTCTGCCTCGATGACACCCGTGTCTCATCCTGAAAGTGTTGCTTGAATTTTTATATAGAGTGACACAACACATTATATAAAGATGGTTTCTAGTTCTAGAAATAACTTTTAGAAATTCTGACAGAATTATAACACTTTTTGTTGAAAGGTCTCGTTTACATGTAATGACCTTCAGCTGTTTCACATTTGTCATGTGTTCAGCTAGTTGTGCGTGATAAGTACTCCATGCATGGCATCGTGCTGGGTGCCAGGGCACAGCCATGAACCAGGCAGGTCTAGAGGCTGGTTGCTTGTGCCCCTGACCACCTAGCTGGGGAGACAGACATCGATTATGTAATGTCACAAGTAATTTGCATTTGGGGTAAGCGTGTTGGCCACGGAAGGATTGCATAGACGGCTCACCACAAATGCTTGTTGAACACTTGCAACAGACACAGGACCATTAATACTTCTTTTTGGTGTTTGGCAGGTACATCATCCCGTCCTTACAGAGGCTTGACGCTGGGTTTTACCGCTGTGTGGTGCGAAACAGGATGGGAGCTCTCTTGCAGAGAAGATCAGAAGTTCAAGTCGCATGTATGTGTGCATTGGAAAAGTCCCCAAGTGATGAATCACAGAAACAGAGTGTCTGTGGGGAATGCCGATCAAAATCACCGTTAGCTGTTGTGGGAATTGAGACTGTGTCTTAGATTCTCTTTGGGATAGGGTCATTGCTAAAATTTGTTGGGAGACAGGTAGCCAGTGTAGCTGGCCCAGTGATGGTGATGGGGCTAATGAGGCAAATAGCACTTGTGTAAAATTCACCCGTCAGGGGCTCTGTCAGGCACTGTGGAGGACAAAAAGACATAAAAAATGAACAGGATGCCTTCTCTTTTATGAATTAGCTGCTCGTGGCTTTTATTATCATTGTTATGTTCAGATTCAAATGTTTTTCAAATAAAAAATTAAACCCAATTAGATAAAATTTCTTCAGTTCATAATTAGTTCTTTCCAGCAATTTGTTTAGAAATCCTTTAGCTCCACGATAAAAAGTACACGGATAGTAATGTCCTAGACGGTATTACTGTCTAGGTATTACTGTTGGGGACCTGATGCATTCTCTGTGGGCAAGACTCATTTTAGAGAATGCGGCTTCTGAAAGTAACTGAAGGGGAGATACCAGAATGCAGGGAGTTTGCACATCATTAGCAGGAATTGGAGAGACAAGCTGGTCTGCACAAAGCACTTAATACTTTTCTAGTCCAAAACCTGGCAAAGTAGGGTCCTTCTAAAACGGCCTGTCAGCTTTATTACATTTTGAATTTACTACCGAAATGTCTCTTCATTTAAAAGAAAGCAGAAAGTGTTATGCTACTTTAAATTACGTATTAATACGTTATAACAGATTTGAGAGAACTCGAGAGATCCTAAACTGGGCTGTGCCAACCAAAAAAGACAGTATTTTCTCTTCGTTATTTTGACCACAGGTAAGGCCTATAGTTTTCAGTGTCACTGTATCAAAGAAAACAATTTCTAGTTACTCGTCTATTCTGTCTCTACACGTTTAGTTATGTTTTTAATTACTAGGAAGGCTTAACTTTTCTGAATTGTGGTGAAGTCACTCAGCTAAATCTTACTGCAGGATAATTTGGAACTTGTATTCAATTGAATAATTGAAAACATAATTAATAAATATGAATTTCAGTTCAATACCCCAAACATATTTGAATAAGTTAACAGCTTGGAATTTATGGTAATGTATTAAATTCTATTGAATAAAATTAAATTTTGGACTTTTTCTTGGTTAATTATTTATATCCTTGTTTCTAGAAATTTATCTTTGGCTCTTAGATTTTTTTCTTTCTTTTCTCCTCCTTTTTGTTAACGAGCTTCACTTTAAAAATAACTGTGACTGTTCACCTCATCTGTTTCATCTCCTAGAATATTAAATGCTGTTTATTACATAGGAAATAATTTCCTCTGAATAAAAATTCCATTGATAATATAGATTTGCTATGGACTATGCCAAATTAAATACATTGAGACAAAAAGCATATAAGTCAAATCTGTGTGTATACACATGTGTCTGTCTCTAATCCTAACATAGACATTTTTCAAAAGTTTCAAATGTTACTAATTTAAAAATTGGTGTCCTCTGCCCACATTCTAATGACTTCATTTTTTCCTGTGACCCCACTTCTTAAAAATGTTAAGCAGCACAAGAGGCTGCAACGGAGCCTACCTGTCCCTAATTAAGTCAACAGTGTGGGGTTTGGAGAACCCTGTAAAAACAAGTTCGTGGTTGAAAAAAAAAATCTCTCTTCCAAAAGATCTGTTAGGGAGACAGTCACCCCAGCAACGGAAAGAAGGAGAAAGTGAACCGGGCAGTGGTGGCTGCCTGGGCAGAACTAGCTTGAGAAACTGGGGAGACGGCGGATAGCTAAGGGCGACTCTAAGGTCTCTGTGGCGGTAGGATGCTTCTCCATAGTTTATTCCAGAATTCAAATCAGTTGCAAACATTTCATCGCGTTGTTGCAGCGACAGAGACCACGAAGTTCTGCTGATGAATGCATTTCGTGGGCACCTTGGAGGCACGTGGCTTTGCCTCCCGCTTCACTTCCCCACCAGATCTGCCCTCGTCAGCACTGCTGCTCAGTGTCTTCTTGTCTTATAGTTTAATTAAAGCACCGGTGGTGACTTTGCTGTAATACATAGTTATTTCCATCTTGGACCCTCCACCGCCCCCCCAACACACACACACACACACACACACACACACAAAGTAGTTTTCTAGAACTCAAAGGGTCTGATTTTTCTCTGCAGATATGGGAAATTTCATGGATACGGACCAGAGGAAAACGGTTTCTCAAGGACACGCAGCAGTTCTCGACTTCCTTCCCATCAGCAGCTGCCCCAGACCGCAGGTGACGTGGTTTAGAGAAGGGCACAAGATCGTCCCCAGCAGCAGAATGTAAGTTGCTCCAACTTTAAAATACAACTCTTGGCGCTTGTTGGCACCATTTATGTATCATTTAATGAAGTTCACTGTATCGATTAAGCCCTGAGAAGAATGATGTGGCCTCGTAGTCCTTCCCCAGGCCGTGGTGAGTGGCTCTTTGAGGACCTGGCGGGGAAATGTTTCGGCAGTTTGAGGAAATCGTCATCCCGTAAAGTTAGCCTGCAGAGTGCCGCCCGCCCTGAGTAAAGCATCCTTACTTGGTCGTTGTGGTCCGTTTTTCCCTTTCTGGATGCGCTTTGTAAGATATTGTCATCCCTGAGTTGTTTAGCTCCAAGTGCTAATTTAATGAGTGCTGGTATTTACTTAGAGAGCTGTGGGGGTTTTTTCCCTCTTTTTACTGAACCATGTTCGATACCACTTTCTCTGACGATAAAACAGTAATTACTGCTTATTTCTCTTTATCCTTTTATCCTGCCGTGACAGTTTTATTTCCCTTCGTCTAATTAGTGGTTCGGCATCTATTGCAGAATACTGCTTTGTGATTAGTTAAGCATTATTTCAAGGTGTTCCTGCCTATCCCGCATTCAAGGTATTTATCTAATGCCAAACAGATTTTCTTCATTTAGAGCTTTAAGTGATTAAAAGAGAACATTTCATATATATTTCATAAGTGTGCATTTTGCAATACAATTTAAATATACCAAATATAAACACTGCAGGGATGAGCATTTCTTTTTTTTTTTTTTTTCAACGTTTATTTATTTTTGGGACAGAGAGAGACAGAGCATGAATGGGGGAGGGGCAGAGAGAGAGGGAGACACAGAATCGGAAACAGGCTCCAGGCTCTGAGCCATCAGCCCAGAGCCTGACGCGGGGCTCGAACTCACGGACCACGAGATCGTGACCTGGCTGAAGTCGGACGCTTAACCGACTGCGCCACCCAGGCGCCCCAAGGGATGAGCATTTCTGAAAGAATCCTGAAATGCTATAAGCTTGGGCTAAAAGTTAAGTACTTAACACCATCAGATGGTTGCACTCATACAAAGATTCATGAGAAGAAAATGCTTTTGTTTTATTCTGTTCTTTCCAAAAAGGATATGTGTGTGTGTGTGTGTGTGTGTGTGTGTGTGTGTGTGTGTAGATAGATAGATAGATAGATATATACACATACATATAAAACACAGTTTGCTGAGTAGGTTTTAAATGTAACTCTGAAAGTCACCGTGGGGTGTAGACTTGCTTTCTCTCCTGTCTGCCCATCCACGGGATCCCTTCTCTAGTCCAGCTGTCATGCTCTCCCAGCCGGGCATCTGAACCTGCTTGACCTTAGGCCATTCTGAATCCCATTTAACAAATGTTTCTTACTCTTGTTATTGGAAACAGGAAGACTGTTGAAATGTATAAACACAACATTTAAAAATGTTAATGGGGCATCTGGGTGGTCAGTCAGTTAAGCATCAGACTCTTGATCTTAGCTCAGGTCTTGATGTCACAGTTCCTGAGTTCAAGCCCCTCATCCGTCTCTGTGCTGACAGTTGGGAGCCTGCTTCGGATTCTGTTCTCCCTTTCTCTCTCCCCCTTACCCACTCAAGCTCTGTCTCTGTCTGTCTCTCTCTCAAAAATAAATGAACATTAAACAAATTTTTTTTAAATGAAAAAAATGTTCGTAAAAATTCTAATTACCTTAGAAAATGGGAACCTGCTTTCCTTTTTCCTTATTTTGGGAAGAGTTGTTTGTGTGTCCAACTTTCTATTGCTTCCATTGATAGTAAATGCCTCTTCGGGTCGGTGAAACGAAGAACAGGGATCAATTTTTCATTCTTTTAGAAACCTGTTAGGTTGAACACAAGGCAGCTGAGATGGACTCTGGCAAAATATTCTGGAGAGTTCTAGCATTGAGGCCAGCACGGCTGGGCCAGTTTGGGAAGAATGCTGGGAAAGGGGAGGTGTGAGGGAGGATGAGGGGATCAAATTAAGCTTCTCCAACACTGGAGCTTCCCTTCATGTCCATGGGGGCACGGCCCACGGTGGTCGCCGTCTGGCAATTCGTTTTTGACTTGTGGTCTAGGTGTCGGCATTTATTCGAGAAGTATGAAAGGAGGTAGAGTGAAATAACAAGTCTTAACTTGATAAGCTTTTCTTGTTTTACTTGCAGATTCTTGCCAAAGACTCTTGAATTCCTGGTGAGCTAATGATGTAAAGATGCTAAGTAGGTTTTAACTTGGTGTCACATCAAACAAATGGCCTGCGAAGCTATTGATGAATCTCCAATGTCAGTAGAATAATATGCCGGTGATCCCTTTTTTAGGAGATGAGATGAGATGAGGCTGATTAGGGATATTTACACATTTGTAAGGCCCTTCAAGTTTCATATTTTCCACCTCATCATCACCCCCGTATTTATTAAGTACCTGCTGTGCAGGACATCATAAATCAGCATGTGTGTGGTTTTCTCTGCGAGTTTATACATCATTCAGAGATAGAAAGTTCTGCTTTGCATGGCAGTTGGAAGGGCATTTCTGCAGGGCCCCTGTCTGGATGGTTGGCAGACAAAAGTCAGATGGCGTTAGATCTGTTCTGCGCCACCAAAGGTGTCATTTAAAAACAAATGTTTGGGGCGCCTGGGTGGCGCAGTCGGTTAAGCGTCCGACTTCAGCCAGGTCACGATCTCGCGCTCCGTGAGTTCGAGCCCCGCGTCGGGCTCTGGGCTGATGGCTCAGAGCCTGGAGCCTGTTTCCGATTCTGTGTCTCCCTCTCTCTCTGCCCCTCCCCCATTCATGCTCTGTCTCTCTCTGTCCCAAAAATAAATAAAAACGTTGGAAAAAAAAATTAAAAAAAAATAAAATAAAAACAAATGTTTGGCTCAAAGCGTTTCACTCATATTGAAACAGGTCAAGCTTCTGTACCTGCTGTAACCTGATTATCTGTGGTCCCTTCCACCACATGGGTTTGGGGAGGGGGAGGGGAAGGTGGTCCTTGGCCACAGGGAGGAGGAGCCTGGTCTCACCAACCCCACCCCCTTATTGTTAACATTACCGCGGGATCTTCAAAATGTGAGCTTTCGGCTTACAGTTTAATTTTTTTCGCTTTCAAGGGAAACAACAATTCTAACGATAATTCCTGACTTGAAAAGTTTGTTGGATGGCTTAGTAACAATTTTAACAGCGGCCATTAATTATTGGATACCTCCTCGAAACACGTCTTCCCTGATCCTCACCATTGCCGTCAGCTGTGCTTGGAGCTCGCGGACTGCAGACGGGATGCCGAGGGTCCTCCCAAGGGGCACACAGCTGACCGGTGGCCCTCTGGGTTCTGCGCCAGGCCTGTCTAGGCTGATCCTTCTTTTCACTTTGTCTTGCCAAACCCTCTTCGTGTCTTTGAAGTATTTTTTGCATATGCTACTTTTGTTCCTATTTCTCCCTTTTAGAACGTCAGCCTTCAGTGTGAAACACTATAGGTCGGCGTGAGCCACAGGCCCACACAAACTCTCGTGCCCACGTAGCCCTGAGCGTGCCTGTGAGGGTGTTATTTATATGTATTCCCTTGTGTTGGGGCTGTAAGTCGCTAACTTCAGAAATTTTTGACAAAAGAGAAGGCAAACATGGTTTTCCAATTAAGGCACGGGCTTTACGACATTCCGAGGCCTAGCGGGGGATGGAGTGGAAATGAGGCCTGTGTAGCACCGGGTGAGGGGCAGCGGGAGACGGAGGGCCGCTGCCGTGTGCCGAGCCCAGCACCCTGTCACCAGCAGCCTCTCTGCTCCTGCACCGCATACTTGTTGAGTGAGGAGGCTTCCGTTGTGTAGCAAAAGGAGCGGCAAAACTTCATCACCATCCCGGAAAAGGAGCTGAAGTGAGTGTCCCGGAGGTGGATGTGAGCTGCTTCCCATTCACAGGAGAATGAGGCCAAATGAAAAACTCACACAGTTCTGATGGCAGTTTGGGCCTTTTCTCCTGATTCATTCACCGAATACGTCCTGAGGACACACTACCTGCCAGGCACCGTTCCAGGCACCGGCTGTGCCGCAGGAAACCAAAGAAAGGCCCTGTCCTCAGGGAGCCCGTCTCCAAGTGGAAGGAGACGTGATAGGCCAGCTGGTGATAACAGAGAGGAGAAAATAAAGCCGGGCGTGCAGTGGGGAGAGGGGGGTCCGGTGGGTTGCTGTTGTAGATGTGTGTTCAGAGAAGCCCTCTCTGATAATAACCGGAGACCTTTGAGCAGAGACCGGAAGGAGTCAGGGAGGAGGCCCGGGAGTAAATCAGGGAGAGGAGCAGAATGGCCGGTGCGTTGGAGGCATGGCCCGGGTGAGCCGAGGGAGAGGGCTGGAGGTGAGCTTTTGGAAGTGGCTGAGCCTGAGTCCTAGAAACAGTTGTCTTAGCCAGAGTGAGGACCTTGGCGTTTGCTCTGAGGATCTGAGTGGAGCAGCCATGCACTCTTCCTTGTGACCCTTCTGTTAAGAATTATGTTCAGAATAGGGCAGCTCTGGGGCAGCAGAATCAGAGACCAGGAGGCCTGTTAGGGGTTTGCTGCAATGGTTGAGGTGGCTCAGATGGAGTGGTGTGGTAAGTGTCAGATGCTAGTCTCTTCTGAACGTAGAATCGATAGGATCTATGCTGGATTGGATGTGAGGTCTGGGAGGAGGAGGGACGCCATGGAAAACCTAAGACTTGTGGCCCGAGCAGCCGATGGGATGGAGTTACCGTTTCCTGAACTGGAGAGATGATTGGGGGCAAAACAAGTTTTGTGTATGTTGGGGGGAGGTTGGTGGTGGCATCTGAAATTTGTTTTGTACGCGTTTGAGGCACACAGTAGATGGTTAGGAGGATGCAGTCATGAGATGGTTGGATGTATCAGACTCAAGGTCAGCAAAGAAGCAGAGGCTCTGCGTTCGTGACATTTAAAGCTCTCTGCAGCTCTGTGTGACACACACAAGCCAGTGAGCGAAACCCAGAGGGTTCCCTCGTATCTCTGAAATGCTTGTGGCCACAGGTCACAGAGGATGACTCTGGCTG